GGGGGGGGGGGGTGGAGTCGGATAGGTTATGGCACAGCTCTGGGGTTCCATAATCTGTCTTCGAACATGTGGTTTAATACATCAGAAGTCAAAATGCATTTCAAAGCTACTGGCAAAGAATATTGGGAATAAGCAACCAAATTAGAGAAATATATAGGTTCTTGGAAATTTTGTTAGCCATGAGGGCCATTATCTGAAAGTTGTGCTGAGCGAACCAATTACATACATGCCCATGACTCCACTTATCTCTTTTCCAACTAAACATTAATCTTGATTGTGACCTTCCTTTTATGTATTATTTTGCCTGCAATAAGCGCTAGCAAAAACCCGCACAGGATGTTTTCTATGCATCTGGCTATACGTGTAAAGACATTCTTTTTCTTTACTTGACAATAGGTTATGGCAAGCAAAACGAAGATCTACATTGTACTTGAGTATGTTGATGGTGGTGAGCTTTTTGATAAAATAGTAAGTTGTTATTGGAGCATTTAGTTCTCTATAAAACTGTAGTCCTGCATACAAAGTTGATTATCTTCATAGCGGAATACCTGCTAAGAAGAGTGATTACCATTTTCTGCTCCTGTATGCTTAGGCCAAACACGGGAGACTTAAAGAAGAAGAAGCAAGGAGATATTTTCAGCAACTCATTAATGCTGTAGATTACTGCCATAGTAGAGGCGTGTATCATAGAGACTTGAAGGTTTAACAAATTTTGGGCTCAACTTATTTTCAATGCGTTTCTTCGGAGATTTTGGTTTCTTTTTGGCTTCAATGAGCAAAGTTTTTTTTTTTTATATCCATTGTATTACGTTTCTTTGCAGCCCGAGAATCTGCTCCTAGACTCTTTTGGTGTTCTTAAAGTTTCAGACTTCGGATTGAGTGCATTATCACAGCAAATACAGGTGAGTCTACGAGAACTAATCTTAGGTATACATCATGAAGTGCAAGTTCTCTGAAAGTAGTTGTCAAGAATTCAAAATTTCTATGCAAAGTCAGCATTTGGTTAGAAATGGCAGCTCCGTATCAGAAAAATAATAAAAATGCCGTTGAGTGTCAGTATTATGGTTTTTTTCTATCCTTTGTTGGTCCATCTTCTTAATGTAACCTATTTCTTTCCTTTTTCTTTTTCTTTTTCTCCTCTAGAAATATTATTATGACCCTCTGAAGAGAATCTTATACATGGCATATTACGAACCTGTAGGCAACAGTGAGTTTTTTTTTTTGAACTGTTAAGTTTAAACATCTGGTGAATTAGGACTCTCTTTCTTATGAATGTGCAGCTTATCCCAGTTAACAGTATTTGAGAAAGTAGTTGAGAGTTGGTTAAATTAGAGTTTGAGGGAAATAACTCTGTTCAAACAAGCCTTGGTGAGTGATTCAGACACTTGAGCTGATCTGCTTGAGAGTAGTTTGTGTTCTTCTAAGAGCCTTAAAATTAACACTTATTAGTTTAAATCAGTGTTGGCTGAGCTTGAACCTAGAACATTAAATTTTAATGAAACTTTGCAACTTCCTCTTCAATGTTGTCACGTCAGCTATAGTTCCACTTTACATGCCAAGAGTTTAATTGAATGCATGCCGAGTTTTGGAGTTCTTTGGACGCGACTTAAGCTTTTGTGTTTCAGTGAATTCTGTGGCTGTAATTCAAGAAACCCAGGTACTGTTGGTTTGTCTGTCTGTGTCTAAGTGTGTTTCTTTTTTACATCTTAATTGCTTGTTCTGTTGTCAATGTAGATTTTGTCTATGGGACATAATATGTGACGAAGAAGACCTCATTATCATTTTTCTTATCTTAGGCAGATGGACTCCTTCACACTGCATGTGGGACCCCAAACTATGTTGCTCCTGAGGTATTAATCTTGGATTTATGAAAATTGAAGGTCAAGTATTGATTTTTTTTCAATGGTTTATTGCATTTGAGATGATTTTTGTACTATCAGGTGCTTACGGACAAAGGTTATGATGGTACATCAGCTGATATTTGGTCTTGTGGGGTCATTCTTTTTGTTCTAATGGCTGCTTACTTGCCGTTTGATGAACCAAACCTCGCCACTTTGTATAGGAAAGTAAGTTCTAGGAGTGCTTCTTCCTGTTCTTGTGCTTTGAATGTCACTTGGAATATGAATGAATGGATCTGTTGATTTTCAGATACAAAAAGCTGATTATTCCTGCCCATCATGGTTTTCATCCAGTGCAAGGAAATTGATTAAACATATTCTTGACCCAAATCCACTCACTGTGAGTTCCAAAACCTTCACTGCTTTGTGTTTCATTGAAATGCCTGTCCTTTCTGCTCTGGTGTACATAATTCAGAATTGATGAAGTAAAAACATATGGCACTTTTTTGTTGCAGCGGATGACGATTCCAGAAATCTTAGAACATGAATGGTTTAAGAAAGGGTACAAGCCACCAGTTTTTGAGCAGGATGAGGATGTAAATCTTGATGATGTAGATGCTGTTTTCAATGACTCGAAGGTAAGTCTCTTTGGTTGCTTTTTTTCATTGGGTCACCTCCACCTGGGAAAGCGCAACTGTGAAGTTCTTGCTCCATACCGGAAATGACATATTACCGGCTGGTATTGAGGACATAGATCACCAAAGGTTCTATGATAATCATATATTGCTTTATTTGTTTGCAGGATTGCCTTGTTACAGAAAAGAAAGAGAAACCTGTATCCATGAATGCCTTTGAGCTTATTTCTAGGTCAGAGGGTTTCAGTCTTAAAAATTTGTTCGAAAAGCGGATGGTAAGTTAAATGAGCTTTTCTCTTCTTGTTAATGGATGTTCATTTTTATTGAAACAAGTCTCTAGTATCACACAAATTCTAACAGTTGGCAAAGCTTAATATATTAAAACACTTAAGGGTGTTTCATTACCATGTCTTTGGCTTACCCTTGTAATAATTGAGGTAGGCTGTCTCGGATACAATTGAGGCTGTCTGTATCTGGGTAAGCACAACCTAATTGACAACTACGACTAAATATTTGTCCTTATCCTGTGTTATCGAGGATGATATGGAATATTTAATGTGCACAGGAAGGTTTAGTAAAAAGAGAAACACGTTTTGCTTCCAAGTGCCCTGCAAATGAGATTATGTCTAAGATCGAGGAGACTGCAAAGCCTTTGGGTTTCAATGTCCATAAGCGAAACTATAAGGTAATGATTGTAGCATTGTTTTCATTTGCTTATTGTACTGCTTTTTTTTTTTTTATGTACCATGGCTGTCTTTTCTCTTTGCCCAAAGAAAGCCATTTTTATAACATAAACTCAGCCTGAAAATCTTATTGTCGAATAACATTCTTTTTACTTCTAAACTACTGCAGATGAAGTTAAAAGGTGATAAGACTGGAAGGAAGGGCCAACTTGCTGTTGCTACAGAGGTACCATCTTTGATTCTTGGTGAATGTAAATATTGTGATATTGCTTTAGGAGAGCAGTTAACCCATTGAAGTCGTGGGCTCTATTTGGGATCTGGATGTTTGGCACCTGCCACATGGAGCAATCTTGATACCTTGTTCTCCGCACCGTCTCCTTTAAAGGAGTAGTTATCCATGGGTTCAATAGTAGTGTTAGATATATGTAATCATTGAATGCATTCTGCACTCCCATACAGGCATAATTTACTCAGCTGGGTATAGCTAAGAAGGATTCTTTAGTCTGGAGTATATAGCAAGACATTTAATTTTGCTTAATGTCCTGGGCTGTTAATAATGTGTGACAATTTTTGAAATATCCCCGAGTATTTTAAGTGCAGTGTGTCATTATTTTTGGCTCCAAAAGCTTGTCCATCAACATATTAGGTGTCTTACGTTTTGTCATATAATCGACATGAAGGTGTGAGATGTATAAAGTATACATTGAGTCCCTAAGTTCAGGATAATCATGTAAAATAAGGGTAATCTGGTCATAAGGTTTATGGCATATTTTATTCTTATTGAAGCTCTTGCTTTTACCAAAGCCATTATATTGGAAAATATTTGTATTCGATTAGAGAGAGTCAGGCAACTGATTGCTTTGAAGTTCAGGTATTTGAGGTGGCTCCCTCCCTGCATATGGTGGAGCTGAGGAAAACAGGCGGTGATACCCTGGAGTTTCACAAGGCATGTCAGATCCTTTTACATGTATTGTTGACATATTGAAGGGAGCTAAGGTTACTGTTAACTAATATTTGTTTTGAATTGCTTGCTGGGATAGCAGTTCTACAAGAGCTTCTCATCAGGACTAAAGGATATTGTCTGGAACTCTGATCCCAATTCTGAAGAAACGAGGTGATCTATCTGGGTGTGTTTGTGCGCGATTGTTGTAGACATCAAATCATTATGACACATTTGTTTGTTGGTGCAGTTATTAGCCCATTGCACACATGAAATGACACATCAACCTCAGAAGTGTACAATGTACAGTGTTTCATGGAAGTCATAGATGTGAAGAAATTAGCAGCATGTGTGGTTGGTTTAATCCTGATTTTGGAGTTCCATTTCATTTCCAGCCTTAACAATATATTCAAAATAATCATTACAAGGTGAATCTGTTGGTGTTGGGGAACAGACATGATTTATCAATTTATGATTTCCTCTTATCACAATGAAAGAAGGTTTGTTTTTTTTTTTTTTTTTTTGCAATGTAAAAAATGAGAAGGGCAAAGGAGAGCGCACAAAGACTACTTCAATAGGTTCTTATTGATGGGATTATGAGGTCTCTAATTGCATCCGTTACTTTTCTTGGGAATGAACTTAATTAAGCTAGCATAATGGTCAATTACCGAATCCCAATATAGATTTTAAAACTTGAACTTTCAATTTGGTGATGAGAAGTTTAGTCACTATTTTACTATCTCACTAAGACATCCCACTCGGTGGTAGGTACGATTCATTTGAACAGTCGTGGTATTTTGCAATAGATTATCAAGTGGGTTTCTTCTTCATCTGCAAATCGCCACGGTATACACCGGACCGGGCATTGTTAACCTAATGCAACCTTAATTCACGACAAAAATCGGGGAAGAGACATTTGTTTGACAGACAACTAAACGAACTCTTAGTAAAATCTCTTTAGCAGCTGGGAACACAGAGCAAATATTTTGATTATACTCAAAATTTGGTNTCGTGGTATTTTGCAATAGATTATCAAGTGGGTTTCTTCTTCATCTGCAAATCGCCATGGGATACACCGGACCGGGCATTGTTAACCTAATGCAGCCTTAATTCACGACAAAAATCAGGGAAGAGACATTTGTTTGACAGACAACTAAACGAACTCTTAGTAAAATCTCTTTAGCAGCTGGGAACACACAGCAAATATTTTGATTATACTCAAAATTTGGTTAAGGTTGAGCTTAGTCGTTCAATTCGACAAATCTGAATTTGCACATATCAATCAACCAGAGATGTTCACGTCGAGCCCCCCAAATAATAACACCAGGTGTACAGGATGAGTCACTTAAGCATCTATTGAAGTGGGAAAGACTCCACTACTAAAGGTAGTATTGTACCAAAAATTATATTTTTTTAAGGTTTAGTTATAATTTTTTGAAGTATAAATTATAATTTATATAGGACGTGATTGATCCCAAAAATATTGTGATCAATTATAAAATTGATAATTTTTAAAAGTTAAATTGCAACTTTTATAGCTTAAGTCATAATTTTTTTAAAAATTTTATGATTGATTATGAATTATTTCAAACAATTATAATTTTTAACTTTAAAAGATGTAACTTGACTATTTGAAAGGGTAACTTTGTTATGGTCTTAAATTTATTTTCAGTATCATAGAATTAGGCCTGCAAAAGTTGATCAGACAAATTCCTAATGTGTGCTAGATGTTTGTCATATAATTAAGGGGAAATTTCATTTTATCCCTTTGTGTTTTGACCTATTTGCACATCACCTCCCTCAGTTTCTAAAATGACACTTAACCCCCATATGGTTGATGGGTCAAAATGCACGATTAATTTTTTCATCTATTTTAACGATCAACGTATCTCACGTGCATGTTAATTTTTATTCATGTTTTGTTTTTTGGAACAAAAAAAAATAGAATTGAGATGTTGAAATACAATTTTTGAGATGTGTTGAGGTTGAATTGAGAAGATGCACTTGCATGCATGTATGGTGTAGGCGGTGGGTTGCCGTGGATGATGGAGTTATGAATGCCGAAGTTTAGGAAGGGCTGGGATGCCGGATTAAATGGTGTTGATGATGATAGTTAGTTAGGTTTTCGGAGTTATTTTGGAATAATTTTTTANAGAATTAGGCCTGCAAAAGTTGATCAGACAGATTCCTAATGTGTGCTAGATGTTTGTCATATAATTAAGGGGAAATTTCATTTTATCCCTTTGTGTTTTGACCTATTTGCACATCACCTCCCTCAGTTTCTAAAATGACACTTAACCCCCATATGGTTGATGGGTCAAAATGCACGATTAATTTTTTCATCTATTTTAACGATCAACGTATCTCACGTGCATGTTAATTTTTATTCATGTTTTGTTTTTTGGAACAAAAAAAAATAGAATTGAGATGTTGAAATACAATTTTTGAGACGTGTTGAGGTTGAATTGAGAAGATGCACTTGCATGCATGTACGGTGTAGGCGGTGGGTTGCCGTGGATGATGGAGTTATGAATGCCGAAGTTTAGGAAGGGCTGGGATGCCGGATTAAATGGTGTCGATGATGATAGTTAGTTAGGTTTTCGGAGTTATTTTGGAATAATTTTTTAAAAAAATTAAAAGATAAATTGATGGGTATTAGAGTCATTTTAACATAAAAGTTAACAGAGTTAATGGTGCATTTTGGTCCATCAACTACAATGGGGTTAAGTGCCATTTTAGAAGCCAATAGAGGTGATGTGCAAATAAGTTAAAGCAGAAGGGTGTAAAATGAAGTTTTCTATATAATTAATAAGGTCTTATGGAAAGTAGGTTACTGATACATGTTGGGAGTTGCACATTTAATGTAATAAAGGCACCGCATAAATGAACTGGCAAAACTCAGAAGCTATTAACCATCAAACCAACCGGCTCCAGCTAGGTGGGCGATGATATGAAATCACTTGCAATTATCATCACAATCTACACTACATATATGGTATTATTATTATTATTTTAAATTAAAGAGCAACGTAACGTGACGTGACTACTGGGAAATCTGGTATTAAACAAAAAAAAAAAAAAAGTAAAGTTTTCCCGTTCAGATTTGTAGTATTTAGCACAGGTTTGTCATTGACTCCCCCCCACCGTTGATAGTTTCTGGATGGGCAATTTACCTACGCCCAACGGCCTTTAAAAAAATTTCCTGTTATACCTCCCAACCCCCTCCCACTCCCTTACGCTTACGCACGCACATATTATTATGGAAAACCCTCTCCTGGTCAAGAATAATGATATGATTACTTAAAATTTTTATCTAATTTATCCACCTAACTATAATTTGTAAATCGTTCAAAAAAAAATATAATTTATATCGTGGACAATTTAATAAAGTTATATTCTAATTAACACCTTTAATTTTATAGGGTTGTCAATGAAGATTAAAAAAATAAAAAAGATATTTTTAAAGATATGATAAATTAAAAGATGTGTGACTAAAATTTTTTCTAATATTATAATCTAAATATATCACTATAAAATATTATTAAATCAACATGCATTACTAGCATTCATTCGTGAATAAGCAGCCCTAATAAAACAGCACGTGGGTCCCTTGACACAAAATACAAGGTTTGGTCGATGTTTGGATGTGGAAACAAGGAATTGAAATCAAAGTAGAGAATGCATGCCTGACAAACTCTTTTAAGATGCCTTGAACGAAATCCCAATTCCTCACATGGCCACTTGGTCAATAACCCCACCGTAACAACAATACAACACAACACAACACAACCCTACCTGTATATCAAGACTTTTCCCCCGAGGGACTCATAGGAGGATGTTTTTTTAATATTTTTTCTTTTCCCTTTTTAACATTTTTGGCCATTCTCTATTCATTTGGGTTTGGTAGGTGAGCTATCTAGCTATCACCTCTCCATGCCACTCAACTATTAAATGTAGACCATCAATCCAGCTTTGTTGCAACTATCTGCTGGTAATTTGTTCTACTAATCTTGTTTCTCTCGCCTATTTTCTCCTTTAAAGCTCTCTCTTTTCTCTCCTCAGTCCTCACACCCAACTACAAGTCCCCAAGCGTGTTGGGCTTGCTTTCATCTCTGCAATTATTTTTTCTTGTAGCTTTAATCGGTTCAGCTTCTTTTAGACTCCTCCAACCAATTTCACACCTTCTTGTTTAAGAACCAAAATACTAGCACAGCAACTACGTAACACACCAAATTAACACACAGAGAGAGAGAGAGAGATGGGTAGTATAGAGATGGACAAGGAGAGATTGACGGCAGAGATGGCGTTTAAGGATTCATCCTCTGTCGTCATCAAAATTCGGACAAGTTTGCCGGACTTTTTACAGTCTGTAAAGCTAAAATACGTGAAGTTGGGGTATGGCTATTCATGCAACCCCGCCACCGTTTTGATGTTCCTTGTGGTTTTACCCTTGTCCATAGCCATTCTCATTCAACTCACAGGTCTAAGATTCGACCGGGTTTCAGATATATGGACTAGTCAAACCGTCTCACTTGATACAGCCACTACACTAACCGGTTCCATGGTTCTGATGTTCCTGTTAGGCTTATACTGGGCCAAGAGCCCCAGACCCGTCTACCTCGTGGACTTTGCTTGTTACAAACCGGAAGATGAACGGAAAATGTCGACTGAATCATTCTTGAAGATGACAGAAGACAGCGGTGCATTTGAGGAAGACACGGTTCAATTCCAAAGACGAATCGCAGCCCGGTCTGGTCTAGGTGATGAGACATATCTACCCAGAGGGATTACGTCTACACCGCCAAATTTGTGCATGAAAGAAGCCCGGTTGGAGGCCGAGGCGGTCATGTTCGGAGCACTCGACGTACTGTTCAGCAAAACTGGGGTTGAACCGAATGATATCGGAATTGTGATCGTAAATTGCAGCCTATTCAATCCAACCCCATCTCTCTCCTCCATGATCATCAACCATTACAAGCTTCGACCAGATATTAAGAGCTACAACCTCGGCGGAATGGGCTGCAGTGCAGGCCTTATCTCAATCGACCTTGCAAACCATCTCCTCAAAGCCAACCCCAACACATACGCAGTAGTTGTGAGTACTGAAAACATCACACTCAATTGGTACTTTGGGAATGAGCGTTCTATGCTTCTTTGCAACTGTATCTTCCGTATGGGTGGAGCAGCCATGCTTCTTTCAAACAAAGCTCGAGACCGTGCCCGGTCCAAGTATGAGCTGGTCCACACGGTTCGAACCCATAAAGGCGCAGATGAAAATAGCTACAACTGTGTGTACCAAAGAGAAGATGAGACAGGTACAGTAGGTGTTTCACTTGCTCGTGAGTTAATGGCGGTGGCAGGTGACGCTCTTAAAACGAACATAACTACATTGGGCCCTCTGGTCTTGCCATTATCAGAACAATTTATGTTTTTTGTTACGTTGGTTCGGAAAAAGGTTTTCAGAGCTAAGGTGAAGCCATATATACCCAATTTTAAGCTAGCTTTTGAGCACTTTTGCATACATGCCGGTGGTCGAGCTGTGCTGGACGAGTTGCAGAAAAATTTACAACTCACCGAGTGGCACATGGAGCCTTCAAGAATGACTCTGCACCGGTTTGGGAACACATCGAGCAGCTCGTTGTGGTATGAATTGGCTTACACGGAGGCAAAAGGCCGTGTTTCAAGAGGCGACCGGGTATGGCAGATTGCGTTTGGGTCTGGTTTCAAGTGTAACAGCGCGGTTTGGAAGGCCCTCAGGGAGATTTCTGCTACTGATCAGTGCAATGGTATTGGTAACCCCTGGGCTGATTCGGTCCATAGGTATCCCGTTAAGGTTCCCGTTACATAGAATGGTCCACGTGGACTATCCCCTCCCAGAGCACTAGCAGATTCACCACCACCACAGAAAGAGAGAGATTATGATTTCTGGGATCCTTAGTTTTCTTTTTTCTTTTACTTTTTATAAATTAAGACAAAAATGTTTGGAACGTTAATGCATTATTTTGGGTGGTCAACGCATTCATATTTACCACGTTTTCTATTTTAACTAATCATTCTAATTAATTTTAATACTCTATTTAGTGGGAATGGTGGAAAATAGAAAATATGAAAAATATGAAAGATACATTTTTCTTTTTTTGTATTTGCTTGGATGAATGAAAAATAAAAATGACTAATTTTTTTTTTTTTCTTGTGATGCCTAAGATTAGGGGTGACAATCGAATCGTGTCATATCAGATTCGTGTTGAGTCATTACGCATTTGTTTCAAATATTAGTCACATCTAATTCAACTCATTTAACTAATTGTGCCGTGTCAAATTACAAGTTGACATGTTTATTTTCGTGTCGTGTTCGTGTTGACTTACATAAATTTTGAATAAAAAATTTAACTCTAATATTTTATTTTCACTTAATTTAATCCATGTTAAAATTTTTTCTATAAACTAAAAATTAACTTAAATAAATATAATAATAATAAGTAAAAATATTTTTTTATAAAATAATTATGTCAGTGCTTAATAAATAGTTACAAATAATTAATATTTTATCTCTATAATACTAGTTAAACATATTAATTTAGTGTTATCATATAAATAAAAAATAGAAAAAGTGTTTATTTTTAAATAAACGGGGTTGATGGTGTCAATTTTGAGTTTGGCTGATTGAACTGAATATGAGTCTTTTATATTTTTTGTGCGCGTGTCAAGTTATTTTCAAGTTATAATAAAGTTTGTGCCATAAAATTTGTGTCGAGTTCGAGTCGTGTAATTGTGTTGAGTTAAAAATTTTCACTCCTAGTTAAGATGAAATTTTTTTTTTAATTTTTTTTTAATATNCGTGTAATTGTGTTGAGTTAAAAATTTTCACTCCTAGTTAAGATGAAATTTTTTTTTAAATTTTTTTTAATATATATATATATATATACAAAATTTATCATTGTATTTTTATATAAAATTAATGTATACATAATATGTGTATATATTAAAAGATATATAAACAAATAAGATACATTTCAATATAAATAATTAACTTTTCATCCACTTTTCTTCCGATTTTGGAGGGATTAATTTTGGTGGGTTGAAAAAAAAGTTAATTCATCCACTTTTTTATCTTTCCTATTTTCCTTACTTACCAAACATGATGTTTTATTTATCCCTCAAACTTTTCATACTTTTATTTTTCCATCATATCAAGCGGAGCATAACTAACTTTTAATAATAAAATTCAAAAAAAAATTAATTCAATTATACATTGTATAAATTTAATTAATTATGGGCTATAAGAATAAATATCATAAAAGATGGGCTACAAGAGTAAATATCATAAAATATTTTGAGGGGGTTTTGCTAGATTTTTGGAGAGGTTTTATTGGATTTTTAGAGAATTTTACTAATTTTTTGAGGATTTTACTGAATTTTTGAAAGATTTTGTTAAATTTTTTTACTATCTTAGTTCTTGATCTTCTCAGGTTGTGATCAAGAATATGAGCACATAGTTAGAAAAACCCATTTCAAGAATCACAAAGGTAGTTCTGATTAGAAAAATCCATTTCCAAAATTAAAAATCCACATTAAAAAACCTCCAAGAACTGATGGATGCTGGTGAAAATTACCTCAATTGAACGAGCTTCAGATTGTGAGATCGAGAGAGATAGAGAGAGACGATTCAGATGGTGAAGTCTTCAGAGCTGACGTCAAGAGATAACCCACCTTCGTTGAAGTCGAACACGCCACAGACGCTGGATGAAGACAATCTATGGAGTGAAGCAAAGGGCAACTTTCCTCTCTGCTGTGAATAACTAGCTTTCCTCTCTCGCCAGATCCGACGAGCCAATATAGGAAAATGGATAATATCGAGTGAGATAGATAGTCGGTTGGAGCCAAAATTTATACACTAACTATCTAAAATAACTAACAAGCCCCCTTTAGTTATCCCGTTAGAGTTGCTCTTAGACCTCCAAATTTTGAGAATTGCTCCTTGAATCTTAGGTTCATTCTCTAAAATTGGTGTGGGTCATCGATTTTGTGTTTGCTTTTTCTGTGGAGGTTGTTGTGTTTGGGTGTGTGGGTGGTGGTGGTGATGGGTTTACAGGGAACATCGAAATACACCTGACACACAAATAATAGTTTTCATCACATTTTTAAACAGAGGTTAGTGCCAATAACTATATTGACTCAATATTTGAACGAAATTGACAAAATTAAACTATTAGTAATTAAAGTTTAATAAGTGACAAACTTTATAGACTATTAGTACAATTTATTCTTATAATTATATAGTAAGGTATGAAATAATTATATAGTAAGGTATGAAAATGGGACCCCCCAGCTATGAAAAAAGCAGCCACCTCTGAGATGGGTGGTGTGGCCAAATGGTAGGACGGTGGTGTGGTAAGTGGTAATATCTGGTGACTGGTTGTTGAGACTCCCAGCTGCCACAACTGACGCTCTGTTCAATTCAATAGCCAAAGGTAAATCCAACAAGTGAGCGTGGTGACATGCACTAGCCTAACTTGACTTTTCGATGTGGACAAATAACCTTGGTTGGAATCAAGTTCCCACTATCACTCTCTTCATTTTGAAGAGTGATTTTTTCTCTCCTAAATAATACATAATAAAAAAAATAGATATTTTATTTGTGAAAATCTCATATCAGATAAAAAAAATAATAATTTAAGTGTCCCACTATAGTATTAATAAATACATTACCTATAAACTTAAGTTTTTAAGTAATTGTAAGTTCTAAAAATGCATGTTAGACCTTATACCAGTGAACTGCTCGTCTCTCTATCGTCATATTTGAAGTAGTACTATTTTTTCTTTTTATTTCAAAAAGTATCTCTCCAGCTAGTGATCCATTGGAAATTGGTTGACACCAAACATTGATCGTGTGGAGCAATTTAGGGGGTCCGGCTCCTTTCCATTTCTACTAGTAAGAGAGGATCTTCCATTAGTTTTATGTCAAGGAGACACGTGCCTTTTAATTTCTCCAAGGCCCGAGATTTGAGCACCCCTTTGTGGAAAAGACTTGACAGTTAGCAAATTGTACTCGTGATCAATTACTACATTTCAATATGGGTCGAATGAAAATGGATAAATATCATAATTANACAAATAATAGTTTTCATCACATTTTTAAACAGAGGTTAGTGCCAATAACTATATTGACTCAATATTTGAACGAAATTGACAAAATTAAACTATTAGTAATTAAAGTTTAATAAGTGACAAACTTTATAGACTATTAGTACAATTTATTCTTATAATTATATAGTAAGGTATGAAAATGGGACCCCCCAGCTATGAAAAAAGCAGCCACCTCTGAGATGGGTGGTGTGGCCAAATGGTAGGACGGTGGTGTGGTAAGTGGTAATATCTGGTGACTGGTTGTTGAGACTCCCAGCTGCCACAACTGACGCTCTGTTCAATTCAATAGCCAAAGGTAAATCCAACAAGTGAGCGTGGTGACATGCACTAGCCTAACTTGACTTTTCGATGTGGACAAATAACCTTGGTTGGAATCAAGTTCCCACTATCACTCTCTTCATTTTGAAGAGTGATTTTTTCTCTCCTAAATAATACATAATAAAAAAAATAGATATTTTATTTGTGAAAATCTCATATCAGATAAAAAAAATAATAATTTAAGTGTCCCACTATAGTATTAATAAATACATTACCTATAAACTTAAGTTTTTAAGTAATTGTAAGTTCTAAAAATGCATGTTAGACCTTATACCAGTGAACTGCTCGTCTCTCTATCGTCATATTTGAAGTAGTACTATTTTTTCTTTTTATTTCAAAAAGTATCTCTCCAGCTAGTGATCCATTGGAAATTGGTTGACACCAAACATTGATCGTGTGGAGCAATTTAGGGGGTCCGGCTCCTTTCCATTTCTACTAGTAAGAGAGGATCTTCCATTAGTTTTATGTCAAGGAGACACGTGCCTTTTAATTTCTCCAAGGCCCGAGATTTGAGCACCCCTTTGTGGAAAAGACTTGACAGTTAGCAAATTGTACTCGTGATCAATTACTACATTTCAATATGGGTCGAATGAAAATGGATAAATATCATAATTACTCTTTAAACTTTGTCACGTGCTTTAAAATGGTCCTTTAATTTTTAATTAATTTAATTTAATCTTTTAATTATTAATTTATCTAATAAAAAACTATGTTAAATATATAAGAGAAATATGCTTCAAATGAGTAAAATAGCTAAAATTTAGCTAACCAAAGCCAAAAATCATGCTCCAACAGATTATGTTCATATACTGTAAAATAGATTTTTGCTATAGTGATTCTTTAAAGAAGAGTATCACTGTAACAACTTGTAAATATAATTTATATTACTAGTTGGTGCACGTGCCATTTTTTTTTCTTTTATTCCTTTGTAAGTTTGTTTTTCAATATTGAAGCATCTTAGAACTATGACAGGGATGTGTGGAGAAGTAAATGATAAATAAAAGAGCAAAGTACCAAAATTCACTTGAAGTAGTGTAGTGTATGACCGTAGTCTTACATCCGTGGTTAGGAGTGAAACAGAAATCTCCTTAATAAAAATTATTATAACAGATAAATGCAAAAGAGCTTCAATGGGTTTGGTNTGTCCCACTATAGTATTAATAAATACATTACCTATAAACTTAAGTTTTTAAGTAATTATAAGTTCTAAAAATGCATTTTAGACCTTATACCAGTAAACTGCTCGTCTCTCTATCGTCATATTTGAAGTAGTACTATTTTTTCTTTTTATTTCAAAAAGTATCTCTCCAGCTAGTGATCCATTGGAAATTGGTTGACACCAAACATTGATCGTGTGGAGCAATTTAGGGGGTCCGGCTCCTTTCCATTTCTACTAGTAAGAGAGGATCTTCCATTAGTTTTATGTCAAGGAGACACGTGCCTTTTAATTTCTCCAAGGCCCGAGATTTGAGCACCCCTTTGTGGAAAAGACTTGACAGTAAGCAAATTGTACTCGTGATCAATTACTACATTTCAATATGGGTCGAATGAAAATGGATAAATA